CCAGCCAGCTCATTTTTAAATAAAAAGTGGGTGCTACCTAATATTGGCACTATAGAAGTAATCAACTGTCACTATAGCAGAACACAGTTCCAGTTAGATGCTCACGTCACATTTAGCAGTTAGGTAAGTAGTTTCGTCATGAAACAATACAAATGACTGTCGTCACTCTTGAGAAAACAATGATTGGTCTTACTTTTAAAAATCTCTCCAACTCCACAAGGACGTTAGCTTAGCGAGGCTGGAGACCTTGTCTCTCCGGTGTGTAAACAAGTTTCAACTCATGCATCATGTGTCACTTCTATGAGCCCCCTTCTCGGCGAAATGAATTACGCGCATGTAAATAAAGTCTTAATTCTCTTGTCACTCTTTTATTGAAATAAGATGGTAATTGAGCATCTTAGATGTGTCATTTTATTTTTATTTTGGCACAACCAAATTTTGGAAAAACTACAGTAGATAATCGATATCGATCTTCCTTTTTGTTTCTTCGATCGTTCGAGCTTTGCAGGAAGCTGAGTTATTAGTCGAGGAATGGATAATCGGTGTAGCCCATGACAGGGTCAGAGGTATAGAATGTCATCCTATCATAGTCATTGAGCGGCGCATTGAGCTCGAACCTCCTTGGTAGGTCTGGGTTTGCTAGGAACGGCCGCCCATAAGCGACGAGGTCAGTGTATCCCTCACCGACCACCTTGTTCCCCTCCTCCCGGTCATACCCTCCGTTGGCGATGAAGGTGCCATTGAAGGCCTCCCTAAAGGGCAGAAGGCGGTGCGGGACTTGGCGTCGGCCATCGACGTGCGCCATCCTTGGCTCAATCATGTGGCAATAGAGGATGCCATAGTCATTGAGCTTGTTGACGAGGTGGAGGGCGAGAGCCTGAGGGTCCGAGTCATGGCAGTCCATGTAGTCGGTGAAGGGAGACAAACGGATGCCCACGCGGTGGCCGCCCACCTCCCCGACGACTGCGTCCACCACCTCTAGCGCAAAGCGACATCGGTTCTCGCGGCTGCCACCGTACTCGTCGGTGCGGTCGTTGGCGTTGTCCTTGAGAAACTGATCGATGATGTAGCTGTAGGCGCCGTGGATCTCAACGCCGTCAAACCCTACATGCATGCACATAGATCAACCAAAGGTTGCTTGGACAGAGTATGATCGAACTCTAGTAAGTAGTAGTACATGAATGGCCCACAAAGTGAAGTAGTATCGGTGAGTAACACGTACCCAGCTGTGATGGCGTTCCTTGCGGCTTTTCTGAAGTCATCGACGACATTGGGTATCTCGTCCTTTGTAAGCCTCCTCGGAGGTGAGAACTCCTCGAGACGACCGTCAGCGCTCATCTGAGGACTCACTTGCTTGTCGGTGCTCGATATCGGCGCCTGCCCATTCGGCTGTAACTCTATATTTTCGAACAATCAACACAAAAAATCAAACGTACTACTACAACCAAACATACTTGAAAAATCAGGAGAACGTAGGAGAGCCATTACTGTAGTTTGAGACGCGTCCGGCGTGCCATATCTGGCAGAAGAAGAGCGCACCATTGGCATGCACGGCATCGACCACGGGTTTCCACGCGTCGATCTGCTCCTCCGTCCACACGCCAGGGGCGTCCTTGTACCCCTGTGCCGTGTCTGACACACCCGTCGCCTCCGCGATGAGCAGCCCACCCTTGGTCGCCCGTTGCGCATAGTACACCCCCGCGTGCGGCTGCGGCACGTTGCCGTAGGACCGCTGCCTCGTCAGTGGCGCCAGCACAACCCTGCACAAACGCAGTATGGATGAACAAGGCTGCACGACTTTTGGCCGGGTGCACCAAACCATGTCCGCATCAAGATTGACGAATTTTTCTTGTTTGCTGATATATCAATATTATTTCAGGCAGATTTGGTCAAAAGTTAAAAAAAATCAATTTAGGGATTTTTGCCTGAAATTTTCAGGCACAGACAATTTGGTAATCCTCGTCGAAGCTCAATGAAATTCCCAGGAAAAAAATCCAGACGCATGTGCATGATCGATCTATCATCAGAATAACAAGAAAAAGACCCGCAAAAAGAAAAGAATAACAAGAAAAAAGAACTTGAGCTACGATGGCATGAAGGGAAACTGTGCTGGCTGGTTGCAATGCCTGTGCGAGAGGTCGAACTGGCCCATCTTGTGCGGCGTCAGGAGAGGAGGCGCCGGCGTGGACTCCATGGATCGATGGATGTTGGTTCCTGTGGCCGAGTGAGTGATGTGTGTTTGGTAGGTTGGCTCCGAGTGAGTGAGTGAGTGCTGTGGAGGTACTCATTTTATAGAGCGGATGCGATCATACGAGGTACATATATTAAGATAAGAATACGATGCGATGGTGCATGGAGGGACCCGGCCGGGTGTTAATTAAGCTAGTTTTTTTAGACAAGTTAATTAAGCTAGGTGAAAGCTCCTTTCTGCGCCTGGGCCCCGGACGGCTGCTAAGCGCACTTTCTCTCGTCCCTCGTATAATAATCCTCGGTGCAAAGATGATGCCGATGACGCACCTAGACACGCAGGAGAGTCGAAATTCACGGGGAAGGAGACGAATGGAGGTGGCTGCTTTGCGTGCCTCTGGCTACCAGCCGCGCCCAAAGTCCGGGCGGAGAAAATTACAAACAAAACGTCACATTTTGGGTTAGATCATCATGTAACTACCATCCGTGTTAAAGATTATAAAGAAAACCATCACAATTAGGGCAGGTGTGTAACATATTACAGTACTACTTCTTTACATGATGCTGGATGAGAGCGTACGATGTGGAGTAAAAGCGTACGTGGTCTATTTACGTCCTAATTGCTTGCACATGGGTACACATGAGGGCACGGACGAGCATCTTTCTTTGGGATGGAGAAATGATCGATGATCAACATCGCAGCGGCCTGCTGTAGGTGGGCGGCGAGGAGGGGCAGTTCTCGTTCATGTTGGCGTACGGCTGGATGGTGTTGTACTCCGGGAGCTCCATCTTGTACTCCCCGAGGATCTGGCAGAAGGGCAGCCCGTCCGCGTCGCCGTTGCACCACCCCGGCAGCCTCGTCCGGTTGTCCTCGAAGATCCTCAGCGTGTACGCGTCCCGGATCTAGGGGAAGAAGAAGAAGCAAAGCACTTGATCAGCCGAGGTCAGGAGCAGATAAAAAGGGCATGCAGCTTGACTGAAGCGGCCGGCACTCACGGTGAACTCCGTGACCTGGATGGACTCTGTGAAGGGAGCGAACACCCCGGCCGCCTTGTACATGGCGAGGATGAAGGCGACGCAGGTCGTCGACTTGCCGTCGCTGTACTCCCACTCGTCCTGCTCCGGTATGGTCAGCAGCTGGTTGAAAGACATGCCCCGCCGCTCCGTCTCGCTGATGATGCCATGCAGGTCAAGTTGCTACACGGACGGGATGAAGCACATCATCGTCATATACTTGCTGTCAATTTCTCAGTCCTCTGTTCCAATATGAAGTGAAATGTATTGCAGGGTAGTTGATTATAACAACCTCAGTCCCAAGTCGCTTGTTAAGAGCCTCGTTCCACATGTTTGAAGCATAGCGTGGTTGTAATCTGGTCCACATCGACATAGCCGCCATTACCTGAAAACAGAATATATAAGATTTTTTTTTTCTTTTTTTTTCCGAAAAAGAGGTTAAAACCCCCTGCCTCTGCACCATTGCGATGCACACAGACACAACCATCTTTATTATTAGTTTTATTAGGCAGAGTACAAAATAAAGACAACCACGAGTATGAACAGACGAAACCAACATGACAGAAGACGAATCAAGCGTTCTAAAAGAACTATTATCAGCAAGTATAATAGGGAAACTATAACAAATATATAAAACCAAATACAGATAATTGTACAGCCATAGCTTACAGCATCGGCTGTTTACAACACCTCACTGTTTCACTGTCAGATGTTCAGCGCCACAAAGTTACATAGAAGATTAGAAATTTTGTTGTCTACCTCTATGCATTACTGTTATGCATAATAAAACTGGAACCAACACATAATGCACATAGCACTTCCAAGACTCAATATACCTACTCCATCCGTTCACTATTATAAGATGTTTTGGATATTTCAATATGGACCACATACGGACTGAAATAAGTGAACAAACACACTAAAACACGTCTATATACATCCGATTCAGAAAAAAGCTAGAACATCTTATAATAGTGAATGGAAGGAGTAGCTTTTTAGAATTACTCTTATACATCGTGAAGTCCCTCAAGAAAATGTCAGTGAAAAAATACCCACATGAATGAAGAAAAGACAGCATGAAGCTCCAAGAAGCAGCAAGAATTTTCAACTTAATAAGAAACTTAAAAAATTGAAACAATTATGCGGAAGGACTAGAGGGCAATGGAGATATACCAGGTTAGCATCTAGAGGTGGAGGATAATTTTCCGACATTGTATCAATCCAACTAAATATCATATTATGATAGCCATACGGTTTTCCGTACATGCTTCGGGCGAATTCCCATGCAGCACTTTCATTGAATCTGGCCCTCACGTCAGGGTGCAAGGGAAGCAATGCTACCTGTGGATTCGAGTCATCTTTGAGTGCCACTCCCCACCATTCATCCCATGGAACTATAGCAATAACTTCTTCACCCTATCATTGTAACATATAAAACCCAACAGAAACAACTTGTGAGGCCTAGCATTACACAAAATCATATATAATGGGCACTTTACTGCAACCACATGACAAATAGCAAATATACCGAAACGAAAAACTAGTCACTAGATGTGATTACAAGATTAAATTTAAAAGATAAGAAAAATGATACGACATGACCAAATATGCACTGCAAGATATGACCAACTTAACATTCTCGCCATGTAGTACCTTCTTATTTTCGTAACCTGATTCTGCAACCCAGAGAGTGCCGTTCTCATCTTTCAGGCAAACTGCGGTATGCCCAGCAAACGCACCAGTCACCCATTTCTCCAAGGTCTGAAACCCACCCCATCGCCCTCGAATCTTGGAGAGAGCCAAGAAATCACCAGAGTGCACATCCTCTTTCCGTATGTTGGAGGCCCAAGGCTGAGAACGCTTCTCAAATGAAGCCCCCATGTGCTTCTTAAGAAATGCCAAGTTGGCGTCCTGTCCCCAAATGGTGTTGGAAAACAGAGGAATCACATCGATCAGAGATAACAATGTCCCGAGCATTCCGGATGGCATGAGGAAAATGGCAACCCCATGCAGCTTCACCTAATCAGAGATCGATCCAGAGATGCCGATTGTTAGAATTTAGTAAGGCGAAACTAAGTGGCCATGTAAATAAGGAGAAATTTGAAAACAACCTACGTAGAGGGACGGGACGTACATATTCCATTTCTCCTGCTTCTTCCCACGATTTGATCTCGAAGGTGTGTTGATGTGCTCTGGTGTAGTAATCCCATCCTATCCTGTACGGTGTGGCAAATACATACAGGTCCATGCATGTCCAGCTCTGAGCCGAAGCAGTCTATATAGACCCACAAGAAATATTTCGTCAGGCAAAACTCGTCATATATAAGGGACTATGTTCAGTAAACGAAAACAAAAACATACAGTAGGAACCATGCATGCCTCTAATTGTCCATTACATTGACAGATTCGCATGAAGGTGCTTGCTCGCAATTTGGCGTTGTTATTGATTGAAATGATTGCAACTTGTCACTAACGAATGATATAACTCGTGGGCATCCTATTAGCATTCCCTAACATGCGAGTTTTTCTGTCTTCTTACAGAATCATTACTTTTAGTTTTCGTGGGAATCAACTTCCTTTTCTATTTTTAGCCCTTGTCGTATGTCTCGTTTGGATCACATTCACATGAAGACAATTTCCTAGCTATTTTTACTAATGAGAACCAAATACTGGGAATCCTATGGGAAATTAAAGCTGAGATGCATGCACGGTGAAATCAAACAGAACTTGCTATTACAACATCAAAGTTGAAAGTCAATCAAAAGGCAATTTGAACCCGCAAAAAAAAAATTCAAAAGGCAATTTGGAGGGCAATGTAAGGGGACCTTGAGGCGTAGGACGGCGCCGCCAAGGCCCGCGGCCGTGCCGTTGCTTCCACGGGGGCCGGGCGTGAGGCTGAGGACCGCCTCGTTCTCCGCGAAGCACGCGCCGCGCCAGGCGGCCGCGGGGCCGCCGGGCGCCGCGAAGGCGACGAAGGTCGGGAGGAGGTCGACGGCGCTGTGTATGGTGTCGCCCATGAGCGACCACGCTAGCCGGCGCGGCAGAAGGTCGCTTGCCGCGGCATGGCACCGCGGCGGGGCCAGGAGAAGGTGGAGGACGGCGAGCAGGATAGGCACGGCGAGACGTCGCTGCCGCTGCGGTTTGGGCGCCGGCGCCGCCATCGCCCGGGTGCCGCGGTGGCCGCGCCGGGGCACCCACTTATCTATGCGCCCGTGACTGGAGCTCCGTGAGCGTCAGGCCATTTGCTGCTCTGCCGAGTCTTCGGCTCAGTGGTTTGTTTGCTTGCTTGGCCTTGTGCCTCGTGAATGGCCGCGTCGTGACGAACGTTTTCTTTTCTTCCCTTTTTCTTTCCACCGCCGCCAGCGTACAGAGGGAGACCGGGCGCACGGGAATTTTGGACCGCCCGAGGTTCGATCCATGCAGCGCCGCCGGCGGGGGGCGAGAACTCAAGCTAGTTGTGGCCCGCTGAGCAGTGGGTCCGGGGACACAACGGTAACGGACCTCGTGAAAATGACAACGTTCTTTACACTCACGAGAGTGGTTTTCCCATCCACCGTCCGTCGTTGCTTTGCCCTATACATACTCCCTCCGTTTTGATTTACTCTTTATATTAGATTTGACTGAAGTCAAATTCCATAAAGTTTGATCAAATTTGTAGAAAACATTATAAACATCATCATAACAAATTTATATGATGTGAAAGTACATTCAGTAATCATCTGCAAAAAAAGAATATTCAATAATAAATCTAATGGTATTGATTTGTTATCGTATATGTTAATATTTTTCTTTATAAACTTTGTCAAAGTTTTATAAAGGTTGACTTTGACAAAAACAAATATGAAGTCTAAATAAAAACGGATGGAGTATTTCGTTAGATATATTATAAAAGTACACCGAACGTACAAACCATCTCAAGCATAATAAAAATTACACCAAGATTCTGAGACCACCGAACGACCATTACTACCGCCAAAACGAGCCACCGACACGCCAAGCCTACCAAACTAATTGTGAAGGTCAATTGGTCCTAGATTTTCTTCTGCAACTCCCAGAACAACACTTGTTTTTTACTCAGGCAACATGACATATGTAATTTAATAGCAGCGACACCGTGGTATATGTGGTGGGAGAGACGCAAGTTCGTCGTGGTGAAAAGATGCATGATGCAAGTCAGATACTCTTATTTGTGCGTGCTCTAGCTGCAAACTATGCAGTTGTGTTGGCTCCAAAAGCAATGTTGAGGTTGGGAGGATGGGAGAAACTGTCCAGGCGACATGTAAAATAAAACATCGGATGCCCCCTTTGGTCATGATCTCCTCTCGGGTGTTGTTGGGGTAGTACTTTGTGATTCTTCGGGAAATTTTGTCGTGGCGACAAACAATAAGATTGATGTATGTGCGATGTTTTAATAGCTGAAGCTGTGTGGCGCTTCGCTTCGGTCTTTCTTTGGCACAGACAACGAGTTGCAGCGAATTAGTTATCAACTCTAACAATGCATAAGTTATTGAGATTATAAAGAAGGGAGGGAGATAGGAATCTCAGCGACTGCTACCACTTTCTCCTTTGGTTTGGAGGAATTTCATAGGAATTCTAGAGGATAGGATTCTTATAGGATTTTTTCCTTTAGAGCCCTTTGGTTCATAGGAATAGATTCCTATTCCTACATAGGATTAGTTCCTATCCTCCACTTTTCATAGGAAAATAAAAATGAGCCTAGACTCAATGGAAAAATTCCTTTGATGTCAACCAAATGATATCTCATTTCCTATTCCTACTCATAGGATTTGGGATACATGCCATCTCATTTCCTACAAAATTCCTATACCTACGATAATCCTATCCTATGAACCAAAAGAGGCCTTAGCATGTGAATTCCCTGAATTCCTTTTTAGGCCTCTTTTGGTTCATAGGATAGGATTATCATAGGAATAGGAATCTTGTAGGAAATGAGATGACATGTATCTCAAATCCTATGAGTAGGAATAGGAAACAAGATGTCATTTGGTTGACATCAAAGGAATTTTTCCATTGAGTCTAGGCTTTTTTTTATTTTCCTATGAAATGTGGAGGATAGAAACCAATCCTATGTAGGAATAGGAATCCATTCCTATGAACCAAAGGGCTCTAAAGGAAAAAAATCCTATAAGAATCCTATCTTCTAGAATTCCTATGAAATTCCTCTAAACTAAAGGAGGCCTTAGCATTGTTTTAGAGAGCATAATGTTGTTGCCTATGAGTTCGCTAGGAGAGGCTCTTCCAGAGAGTGGTTTGACGATGCTCCCTTTGAGCTCATTCCTCAGCTACTATATGATGTATCATGATTACACGTTAATAACACAAATATTTTTTGTTAAAAACAATATACCATTGAATTCGTATGTGAAAAGAGTTTGTAACGGTATTTTTTTTAATATCATGCAACTCATATTTTAATAATATTATCAATGGTGAAAGACAACTTCAAAAAACATATTAGGCCATAAATATTTGAACGGAGGAAGTACATGTTATAACATTATTCGGACCAGCTCATAAAACACCCACATACGGATCCCAGAGCAGTACCTAATGGGACATATAGTAGGATATATGTGCTGTTAGAAACGCAAGACTTTAAAATACAGGAATAGAAAAGAAAAAAACACATAAATTAAATATGTTGTCTATTTTGAATTTATGTGGAAAAACTTCAAAACTATCATTTGGATGTCGTGTAGAAAGCACATGAAATATAGACACGAATAGAGGAAAATATGAGGTGGGACCTGATGTTTGGTTTCCTCCAAATTTTATATGAAGCATCCCAATCCATATATATCTCAAAGGAATGTAAGATATCAATCCTTGTGTTTCAAATGGCATTAAAGTTTTTTTTTTCTATGTAGATCCTACCATCTAACATTCCTAGTCACTCCTCCAAGAAAAGGCGGCTAGGGTTTCTGCCTCCCGTCGGCGGCGGTGCCGCTGATCTCCCATGTCTCCTGTGGCCTTAGGGCCATGGGTGCGCGGTGGATCCTGGCCCTTCCTGGAGGGATGACTCCATTTTCAGGTGCTTCTTTAACTTTTGTTAGGGTTTATGTCCTGCTCAAGAAGACGAGACGACGGTGGCTTCTTGAAGATGGAATAAGGTTCTTCCCGCCTAGCCTCCGTCCCGATGATGTGTCTAGCATCGTCGGAGAGCATGTGGAGGTGTGTCTCTAGCGGATCTCGCAGGATTCGGTCGGTGGTTGTGTTTTTTGGATCCACTCGGATCTGGTCTTTATTCATCTTTGTTCATGCGTCTTCAGATTGGATCCTTCCGATCTAAACTTCTCTTCACCGGCAACCCTTCTGGCGTGTTGGTCCTATAGGGTCTTAGCACAACGATTTGCCGACTATCTACTACAACAAGTTGTGGTCGGCTCCGGTGAGGGAGAGGCGATGACGACGGCGCGGCTTCAACTCGCTTTAGTGCTTGTAATTATTGCTAGGTGGTCTATGAATCTCGATGCAATTTTTATTATTTCTGGTGTTCGTTGTACTGCTATGATTGAAAATGAATAGATCGATAGTTTCCTGAAAAAAAAACATCCCTAGTCCCCCCAAAGAAAAACTTCCTATATTTTTCCTCATTTTGAACGGTTCTAAAAAGGGACAGAGGTTCTAAAAGAAAGATTTTGTTTTTAAAGTGTGAAGTTGGGGTTTGGAAATTGCAAGGGGTGATGGGCTTGCTCGCACATGGCCCGTCCTTCAGTTTAGCCCAGCCGCCGTGTGTTCCACGAGTAGGCCCAACTCATCGACGGCCAGCCACCGGTGCTACCTCACTCCTGTACTCGTTTCTCCATTGCAATAGCTGTGACGGCGACGACGCAGCTTGAAAGGTAGTTGCCCGCGACCAACCCCCTCCCCCTCCTGTCGACGGAGGCCGACGCCGATGGCGAGTCGGCGGGAACGGAGGCTTCCGCCCGCACCCGCTTTCCAGATGGAGAACCCCTTCAGCGTGAAGGTTCTTCAGGTCTTCACTGGCGCCGGCGTCGGCTGCGGCGTCGGAATCGGCGTCGGCCGCCCCATCTACCTAGGTAATAAGAATCAAACCTTCCACGCGCTGCTGTTCCTTCTATTCTTAGGATAATCAGGATGGACATCGATCGAGTTCGTCACCAGTCGGCGGGTTCGGCATTTCGTCGAACAGCTGAAGTGGGTGATGAAACGGGGCACCCTGTCGAACAGTTAGTGCCGTACTGCCGTGTGTAGTTGTAACCGTGCGGGATTGTATTTAAAACATTCAAGTCATACACCAGATCAAGATCAAAATTTGATGATTGGGAAGCACAGGGAAGTAGTGTCGGCTACTTAGTTCAAGCTTGCTGACAGTGGCACCGTGCACATCCACGCTGTACTGACTGTGCTCCGTGCTAGGAAGAAATCGACTAAATTTCAGTGAGTGGCTGTTGTTTAAGCAAATGGCTCTTGTTCTGGTGGTCAGGTATGATACTGGGCCTTCAACAAGTTATGAGTGCCACAAGAGGTGCAACCGATTCTTTTTCTGGTGTCACGAGACATGTTAATTCTGCTGTAAGTCACTCTCCCATGAGCGTATGCATGACTAAATTGATTTTGTATTTAGTGATTTTCTGGATCTGATTTTGCGTTTTAATTCCTTGTGCTCTAGCTAAGGAAAGCAGGGTTAAAGAACATTGAAGCGGGCATTGGATGCGGAGTTGGTATAGGACATGGTTTTGGGATAGGTACACATTGCAGCTATTCCATCTATTTAGCCATGTAAACTTTCTGTTGATGTTGTCCTAGAAAGACTGGTCGTGATTATTTTCAATTATAGTGGCTCATCAAGTAAAAACATCTTTAATCTCTTACCCGCTCAGTATATCTGTTCTTCTCTTGATGGCCACATAATAATGAGTCTAGTTGCCTGCACAGAAATCAGACTAAGGTTAGGATGACACTGTGATGCACCAATACTTCTATTATTCTTTAGTGTTTTCCCATTTTTGTTCACTGCTGTGTGGAGTTTTCAGCGCCTGTGCACACGCATGTGAACATTGCTTCAAAGATCTCTCACTAATTTGTAATATGAAGTGACAATGGAGGACATTCATCTTGATAGAACCTTCCATATCTAGCAGACTAGAACTCTCCCTAAGTAGTGTGCATGGGCAATTTCTTAAATTCCTGCAATGCTTCCTCCTCAATATTTTCTTTTTACCACAACTTATGATTCTTACTGTGTTCCTTTACATACATCATATGCACTGCAAACTAGTTTAGAATCATTAATGTTACATTGTGAACTGCCTTTCTGCACAAGCATGTCATCTTGTTTGCCATGGTCTTGAAGCTAAATCAATAAAGTATCTCTTCATTTTCAGGAATTGCCTTGAAACCACGAGCAATTCATGGAATTCAATCATCGATTGCAGTACAGACCTTAACTTTAATTTGTCCTGATTTCTTCTCTGTTTCCTTTCTTGTTGTATGAACATTAACAGAACAACTTTTTCTAGGAAGTTTTGTCCAAGTTAACTTCAAAGCTGAGGGATTCCAGTGGGGAGACAGCTACATCAGATCTTACCTCTGGGTCCTTGCCTACCAGTGGACAAACACCCAATGGTATGTCCATGGATCTAGAGGCTAAGGCATTCAAAAGCGATTTCCACCATACTTCAAGCAATGAAATATCACAAGTACAGCCGACTCATGAATTGCGTGACCAGAATGGGATGCCGCAAGAGATGATAACAGGAGGTCGAACTGAAAAGGTCATTGCCAACTTTCTGCAGAGTCCCCTGTTCCAGAATGATACAAAAACGGACATCAGGGATGCAGTATGCGCTAAAATCTCACTTCTATGTTCTTGCTAACATGTATCATACATATTGATGCACTATTATATTTTGCAGCTATGTCTTCTGCTGCTCAATTTGCTTGTGCATACATTGTTGTGTAATGGACATTATAAACACTCACTTTTTCTTTATTATTTTTACAGGCTGTAAATTTGCATGGGACGGACAATGGTGAGTTCAATCACATCTAATGCTCCTCATGCATACTTCTTGACTTTACTCTATGGCTCGCTAGTTCTATCCTTGTCCTTTCTGTCAGATGGGTTTTACTCATTTGCACCCAGTGTGGCTTTAAAATGATGTGTCTTACCTATTTAACGAGTAAAATATTACTCGCGTCTCAACTGACAGTAGCAGAATTGCTAGGGCGGTTATTGTTGCAAATCGTTTGTTTTCTTGTACGAAATGGTTTACAATTTCCGTCTTTCATTTCATAGCTCACTACTAACTAGTGATGCATTTCTTGCTTGTCAGGTGCTGAAGCACCAAAGAGTTATCGAAGAATTACGAGACGAGAATGAAAAGCTGCGTCAGGTGCTCATAGAGGAACTTAAGATTTCACCAGCTAAATTACAATCGGATCGGACAAGTGGAGTGAAGGCCTACTATCCATGCTCGGAGTGCTTTGACTGCCGCCGTCGAAGTCGGAAATCAAACAGATAGCAGTGGCATTGACTCTAGTTATTTGTAGCCAAGTTTTTGCTATGTTTTCCACTAGCTGAATCTTTCACTAGAGCTATAGTCATAGCTTTCTGCATGATATTCTCAACAAAAAATGGCCAGGCCAGCTATTTTTGCTGAGACACTTTATCTGATCTACGTTATGTTCCATGTAGATGGTGAAAATTTTGAAGCTTGATGTCTCTACTGGGTACAACGAGTGATGTGTGGCTTATCTTGCAATCACACATATAAGTTTGAAATGTTCTTCATGTAAACAAAAGAGATGAGGTTGTAGGAGCTAAAGCCCATTTTTACATGTTAAACGCTTCTGCAAAGAATATGGATATGTTCTCAGTTTAGGCCCCTTTGGAGAGCAAAGAAAAACTTGGAATCTTGAGATAATGCCTCACAACTCGTACTGGTGCTGTTAACCCAGAACAAGAGAAGAGAAACCCTTTGAAACACGGTATAACTAACAACACGCATTTTTTGGAGAAAAGTGTCATTTCAAGGTCAAAACCTGTCTGAAGCACAGGGGTGTCAGATGCCTTTGGAGTGGTGGACTTGTCTGCCTCCAACGTAGTGGACTCATCTGGTGTAGAGTAACTTCACGATGCATCCCAAACCCATAAAGTTGAAACGAGCCTAAAGTGTAGCGTCACGAAATCACCCCTCTGACCACAAGCATAACACTATCCTACCCCTCTCTTATCACTCAGATGTACGCTACATTGCCTACTCTTTGTCTACTGTGTCTTATCCGTGGTATATATTATGCCTCTCGAGTTCACCATCCACACCAACCCAAGCAAGTACCAAACAATTATGTTATAAGGAGCATGTGCGCTGGTACATTACAAGATGAATGTAGAGGCAAATTTCGACAACCGGCTCCCCCCACCCTTCTGTGGCAACATTGAACCCCTCTTCGTGGAAGGAGAATGCAGCTATCCTATTTATCTAGTGATGCAAGAAGTATGCAATGGCATAAGAGCATCTCTAGCAGACCCTTATATCGTGCCGAATTGTAAAATAACCGTCACTTCTTTTTGCGCCGAAAAAGCGGTCTGAAC